ACCTAACATCATCGTCTAACCTTTAGGCCCTAACATCACCGTCTAACCTTATGGCCCTAACATCACCGTCTAACCTTTTGGCCCTTACATCGCCGTCTAGCCTCTTGGCCCTAACATCACCGTCTACCCTTTTGGCCCTAACATCACCGCCTTAGCTCTTGGCCTTAACATCACCGTCTAACCTTTGGCCCTAACATCACCGTCTAACCTTATGGCCCTAACATCACCGTCTAACCTTTTGGCCCTAACATCACCGTCTACCCTTTTGGCCCTAACATCACCGCCTTAGCTCTTGGCCTTAACATCACCGTCTAACCTTTGACCCTAACATCACCGTCTAACCTTATGGCCCGACATCACCGTCTAGCATCTTGGCCCAAACATCATCGTCTAACCTTTTGGCCCTAACATCATCGTCTAACCTTTTGGCCCTAACATCATCCCTCTTAGCCCTAACATCACCGTCTAACCTTTTGGCCCTAACATCGCCGTCTAACCTTTTGGCCCTTACATCGCCGTCTAACCTCTGGGCCCTAACATCATCGTCTAACCTTTTGGCCCTAACATCACCGTCTTAACTTTTGGCCCTAACATCACTGTCTATCCTTCCCTTTTGACCCTAACATCACCGTCTAACCTTTTGGCCCTAACATCGCCGTCTAACCTTTTGGCCCTTACATCGCCGTCTAACCTTTTGGCCCTAACATCGCCGTCTAACATTTTGGCCCTAACATCGCCGTCTAACCTTTTGTCCCTAACATCGCCGTCTAATCTTCTGGCCCTAACATCGCCGTCTAACCTTTTGACCCTAACATCACCGTCTAACCTTTTGGCCCTAACATCACCGTCTAACCTTTTGGCCCTAACATCACCGTCTAACCTTTTGGCCATAACATCACCGTCTAACCTCTTTGCCCTAACTCGTAAATTTCAAAATATTGAATATGTATTTAGAACATTCATGACAGAAATGGTAATATTTTGGAACTGGCTCGCGATTATAATTAAAAGATCAAGTATATAATCACTCATGAATATATCACATATATCAAAATAAAAGAACTTCTATCCGACGTGTAAGGAGTGATAATTATAAATTGAAAAAGAAGTTGTTTCACAATAGCTGTAAAATAAACAGTTTCTGAATATATTTAGCATAATGTAACCTACATTTTGTTAGGTTGATCCGATATTAATAACAGTAGTGAAATCGTACAACGTAACACGATGTGCTGTGTGCGCACGATGTGTGAGCGGTGTGAACACCTTGTACGCACGATGTGTGCGCGGTGTGAACACCATGTGCGCACGATGGAAAACTGTGCTTTTACAGCATGAGTACAGCTGTGCGATAGGTATCGTGGTGGATAGATATTAAGGAATGGTCTGTGAATAAATACATTTTCGTATCGAAACTTATATTTTTTATGATTAAAGACTTTGCCCTAAGATGTTCGTGGTCATCAATTTATTTAAATGTTAAGGCCTTATCACGTATGGGTGTTTTTTTAAACGACCCTTGCTTACAAGTGTGAAGATTTGTGTGCAGTAACAATCAACAAGTATGTGTAGTCGATCGTTTAATGTCGTCACTGTCTCACGATAAGACAGAGTGAAAACTCAAATACACAAACATTCTGACCAACAAATCAATATCTTACACTTCTGCAGGAATTACCACACATATAGATGAATCGTTTGCAAGTTATTATTGTCTTTTACATTGAAATCACTGATAATTACCCTATAGCATTCGCCAGTAACAGAAATATGAGTAACATGCTGCATGATTTTTTTGGTACATTTTTCTGCCGGAAAGTGTTCATGTGTTTCTAATATGCGAAACAGAGGCCGAAATATCCGGAGAATCCGGAAATTGTAAGAATAGGACCAAAACGAGAAAAGGCCAAAAACACAGACGACACAATTTGCGTTCACATCATATACACGCAATAACAGTGTAAAATATAGCCTTCCCTTTGCAAGTTACATGTTTCTTACCAGGCAATGTGTACATTTTGTTATATGGTTAGTCCACCGTGAATGACATTGGTCTATTTTATAAAGCCTGATGTCTTTTATCCACCTTACCCTCTTCGATGTTATCTATACATCAGACGTTCTATATAATCTACATATTTTTCTCTTTTATTCTTTTAACCCCTTTTTATATTTTAATTATTAATGCATACCATGCTAATGCTTTTACAAATAATAATTTTGATCTGATATTTCTACACTTCTCACATCATGTTTGTTTAACAAAAACAATCACCATGGCCCTAACTGACTGCAGTTGTCGATTGGCCGTAAACAAGCAAATCAACAAAGTGAAGGAGTACAGTTAGAATTACGCCCAAGTATCTACCTATGTTCAGTTCGTTCTGCGTGCGGCTTGCGTGCGGTTAGCGGTAGTCTAGCGTCTAGAAAGCAATCGTTCACCGTTCGAGCAACGTTCGTATGTTTCGTCTGTTTCGTTCGTATCAGCTAAATCGTTCCGTTCGGTTATTTCGACCGTCCCTATCGTCCAATTATTTCATTTGGTCGTTCAGTTCGGCTACTCCGTCCGGCTGTTCCGTCCGACTGTTTAGTTCGATCGTCTACTCCATCTTTTTGGGTTAGGATGCGCACGCAGTTTATCAATTCACTTAGGCAAATGGTAGAACTGCCGAAGATCTCACGCTTATCTCCAGAATTACGAACCTCAATTATCAGATACAGTGACAAAGGCTACGCTATTAGAAAGATTATTCGTTGTCAAGCACATGCGCGCGCCGAATTGAGTAATAACGGTATTTATAGGAACTCTTCAATGCGGGAAACCACGTTTTTGTCGGTAAACATAAAAACAAAATGGAGAAAAGGAAGAGTACAGAGTATATTGGGCGAATTTAACTGGAATTCGGATTACGAAGTTGTTTTCGGAGCAAGAAATGGTCAACAATTAAAGCCTGCTGTTCCAAAGACTGGATGACAAAGTCGCAAAAGAAATGCAGTGTGGCTAATTACCGCCTGACTACTCGTAAGCTCACCGAAGTGTTCACAAAATTCGCATTGTAAATTTCCCATTTATACAATACCCTTTTCACACGTTTATCAAGAGGTTTAAATTTCTTAGGTTTAAAGGCTTTATCATAATCAATGCACTATTCACACTTCCAGTACTACGACGTAGTTGACCTTTGTCATACAAGAATTAATTTTGTCTCAAGCTTTTATATAATTCTCAATTGTTTGAAAATGACGATCAAAGGAACAGAGTACTATTGAATAAGTATATATTTCTACACTTAGTGTAAGTGTAAGAGGGGAACATACAGCCTTTAGTATATACTAGAAGGATCATGGTGATGCTGTACATCAGATATTACAATTCCCTGTCAGACTCGGATCATAAATGCTTACCAAAACATGTCATTACATG